GATCAAGATGCACAGCCGGACATATTAACCTCTCCTGGATAGCTTCCCGGTGTTCTTCAAATGTTTGGCGATCTGGGCTGCAGAGTGAGCAACTCCCCGAATGCATGGCTTGGTATATCGTTTGGAGGAAACCAGAGATGCAGCTCAAGTCTGAAAGAGATTTCTAGCTTTGGCTTGCTTGGGATGGTCCCAATCCTTGAGGCTTTACCACCCTTTCTGCTTCTTTGGGCAGCTTCAATTGTGTGTGTACATGTGTTAAACCGCAACTGTCAGCCCGCTGCAGGGTCCAGCTATTGCTCCTCTGCGATGATCAAGCGCATATTTGATACTTTGTTTTGGCCATTCTTAAGGAACTTATCTTGGATAGAGAATTCCATGAGGGAAATATAAGAAGCTTTAAAAAGCAACTTGAGTTCGCAGTTGTTCATTCCCGCGGATTGCTTTGTCTTGGTCCAACGCCGGCTTGCCCCCTCGCCTTCGCCGATTCGGCTGCATCGGCTCGTATAGATGTCTCATCCACACGAGAAAAGAGACGGATGCAGACAACATTTCGGCAAGCAAATCAGTTTTCCCGGTTTTTCCATCTGATCCTTTGGCCTTCCGAACCCCGTTTCGCCCAACGCCGCGCGACAGCCTCAGGATTCCCTTTGCGAAGGTCACTTAGGTGTTCGTGTTGTTTTTTGGTGGCGAGCCCTGGGTTTCCTTTCGGTCCGAATTTTGTTTTGCCAGTGGTCAGGTGGGTCTTGAGGTCTTGTTTCTTCTTTTTTCCGGTGTCTCGAGCGGGTGTCGCCGTGAGTTCCGCTCCCTTTCCGCCGGCTCAGGCCATGGATTTCGGCACCGAGACCGTGGTGGTGCCACGCCGGCTACTAGGCGCCCGGTCGGTTGGGGCGTGTGACGTACCCGATCTTCGTCCCGGGTGGGTGCCGGAACGGGAAGTTCCCGATGTCTGCTCGATTTGCAGCCGGCCGGCCCTTCAATGGTCAACCCTCCATTTTCCTGTTTGGAACCTCCAGAAGTGATATTCCATTGCAAGCCAGTAAGTTGCAGCCATTTGTTCCTGGGACATCCAGCGACCCCTGCCAACAGCTTCCATTTGCTTGAGAATATGTCGTGTTTTTGTTCCCTCTTGGTTTTAAAGCTGGAATCTACGACTACTGGACACATGTTCTCGCTTTTTTCCATTGGGCGAAAATGCAAATGGAGGAAAAGCGCCGATTGTTCGGCGTGAAAGGCGGCGTTTTCAGTTCAATCTCGGCCAGGCGAGATTTTGGAAGACGGGATCTGCCCGCTGCACCTGCGCATCGAGCTACTGGTCTTCTTCTGGCTTTTGCCAGGTTTTGTGTGTTTTCTTGTTGTACTATAGCCAAAATCGACACCAGGTAGAACCACCCACTCAAAATGGCCAGGTATATATATATAAACACAACATCTATGTATATATATATATATATGTATATATATAAATAAACATATGTTTTGCGTTTTGTGCCCTTTGAAAGGGTGTAAAAGGAAACCAACGGAACAGCGGCATTTGGGGCTACCCATATTTTGACACATGCCCTCGCTCGGGGTTCCTTCACAGCTTTGGGCGGGCACATTTGCTGTGCATGTGCGTGTGGGTGTGTGTGTGTGTGTGGGTCTTTTTTGCGTTGGTATTGATTTTCTGGCCCCCCCTCCCCCCCGGTAATGTTGACTTTGAATCGACTTCCCCTGATGTTTGGCCCACTTTGGTGATGCACGCAGGGGAACCGCGGGCTGTTGAAAGATCGAAGGTTGTAAAAAATGCCCAGTGGATCCCGGTCACCACTCACAAATATATGTCCCTCTTGATTTGGAACGGATGGTTTCCTTGGGCACCCACTATACCAGGAACTGGAATCACCTGTAATGGGGACTCTGTAGACATACTCTGGATGGTTGCGAAATGTTGCGCCGCACCATTTTGCGCCACGGTGGAAACCACAGCTTGTTTTGGCAGTGTTTACGTCGAGGGAATCGAATCAGAAGCCAGGGTTTCGAATCGAAACCCTGCCAGGATCCAAAGGTAGCTGATGTTGCCCTTTTGCCCCTGGACAAAACCAGAAACCAGCACCATCGATCCAACCTTGAGTCCAGTTTTGTGGGAAGGGCACTCCGGGAACTTTGTGCCAACCTGAAGTCCTTTCAAGAAACCCAGTGATTCCATTTGTCTGTGAAGTCTCAGTTGTTCAAAGCCGACCTTTTGACCTTAGTTTTCCTTCTTTGGTTCATTTTTAGTAGAGGTCCCAAAAGGTTAACCGTTTATTGCCAGGTTCTTTGGGCAAGTGAGAGTAGGTAAAACCAACGGGAACCACCCTTTCTACAAACCAAAAGGATAAATGTTGGTTACCGACTATTGGACTATGCTGGCTTGGGGAGGGAGGGGTGAGAGCAGCTTTTCGCAACGCGGGGAGAAGCCCATGTTGGGAGAGGCAAAAAATCGCTTCGGGGCCCGCTTTGAAAGACCCTTTGGTAGCATCTCTGTGTTTCTCGCAATAGGGAACTTCCCAAAATGCTCGGGGTTTTCCGTTGGTCTCCCTCTAAAACCAAGCCAACCAGACGCTGACGCTGTGGCACGGACTGAATGCACTTCCTTGGTAGGGATGGTCATCAGCCCCTCAGAGACACATAGGGAGTGTTGACCAGGGCTCATTTGCCAGTTGTCCCTCTGCAGATCTGCGAAACAGCTCTCATCACAGCAAGAGAGGTCTAATGGCATCGATCTCGACTTTGGGCTGGCGTGCGGTTTGCTTCGGCGTCAAGAATGCATTTTTGTTCGCTCAGATTTCAAGAATGAACGCCGGGATCATTGTCATCAGGGGTTGTTTTTCTTTGAAGAATGTGCCAACACTGTGGGAAAATGCGTGGTTTGATAAAGGAGCATTGGCAGCAGAGGACGTGGCATCCGCGCTTTTTGAGCTTGAGTGGGGTTCCGGGGGTTCCGGAGTCGTCAAGCTGTGGAGTTTTTGAAGCTTCACCATGTACAGCAGCAACCAAAGGTACAACACCCAGCTTTTGAACTTCTGGATACAAAGCAAAGGACACAGCAGAGAGAGGTGCGAGAAAGGTAGGTATCCACTGCTTTGATCCCCACCTCCAAGTCACCTGCCTGAGTGCCCAAAACCCTAGCGATTTTAGGGGGGGTTCTCCTGGTTTCATGAGGTTAGTACAGCCATGTAAAGCCCATAGGTACTGGTTTTTTCCGACCCCCCTAAGCCCAAAACCAGGTAGAGAGTCAAGACAAGTATTCGACTTTTTGGAGGGCACGCCTTAGGCTTGGTCGAACTTTGAATTGAAGCAATCCATATTGTGCACAATGCAACCTTCGGGATTGAAAGAAAAAGCGACCACAAAGGCTCCCACTTTTCCAGAGGTGTTGGGCAAGCTTTGTTGGAACGAATAAACCCCAGTTGATTGGAAAGAGGGTGCACCCCAAACCACGCTCTGCAGGGACTCACCATGGCAGGTGGTTCCCCTTTAACACCAACTCACTTGCCAACCCGCCGACCTTTTGACCTTAGCTTCCCCCCCATTTTTAGTCAGGGCCACAAAAGGTGAGCCAAGCAAACATTGGAGTTCCGCTGAACGATGCGCTTAGGATCCAGCGCCTCTTGTCTCCCTTCCAGGGTGCGTCACTTCGCTCGGATCGATTCGCGGTTGGCTCCGAACAATTTGCATGTGCGTTGCTCAAATTGGGACACGGTTCCGCATGGACACAAGAGGGGTCTATGTTGCAGATCTTGCTAAGGAAGTTTGAAGGTTTTGAGTCTCTTGACTCGTGGTGAAAAAGCGGCACCTTTGCAGGGAACTCCTTGCTTCCAGGGAAGCCGAAAGGAAAGCCACCCAAACTTGCGCCCCAGGCATCCAGGCGTGCGTCACATTCTATAGCCTGGGCACTCTACTTCTGTCGTAAGTGGTGAAGGATCGGGGAGGGAACCCCCGGAAGGGTAGTTGTGCTCTTGATTTCGGAGCTCTGATTTTGCGACTGTGAGCGCATCCCCATTTAGACAGGCTTGCTAAACTGCAAATGGTTGATCTTTCTGGGGTTGATTTTAGGGTCAGAGCCATATAGTTGGATTCCCCAACAATCTGGGGCTGAAACTTAAACAGGCCATATTGTTCCCATTTTTCTTAGGGGGCAAAAGCAAATGAAAGCCTGGCTTACTGCCCCAGTACTTGACATATTTCCGATTTTGTTGCTGGTGCTCCGCTGGGAATGAGGGAAGGAACCTGGGGGATTCCCTAGGAAACCATAGGGCATGGTTTATAGAGGTCATTGTTGATTCCCCTAAAGGAAACCATAGGGCATGGTTTATAGGCGTTTTTTTGTTCATTCCCCGCCTATCGCACCAGCAAGTTTTTCTGAGGAAAGACCAAAACGCCCGTCGAGTCGACTGGGGTATAGCACACATTTTACATTTTACCTGTGACGCAAAGTGAAGCACACAATAAAACATACATTCTAATTCTATCCCCCAAAACCCTAAAACCCTAAACCCTAAACCGTTTAACCCTAAACCCTAAACCCTAAGCCGTGGTCCCCATTCTACTCATGCTCGAAAGCTTCACCTCTGCCGCAGCTACTTGGCCCTCGGCCTGCGCTCGCGTGCCGTCGGCCGCAAGGGCTGTGAACTGGTACCTCGCGAGCTGCCCCTCGTCGAAGCCCGCGGAACACCAAATCACATAGGATATTTTGGTTCGTTCACCGCGGGCGACGAGTAGTTGAGAGCACCTCCCCTGTGGCCGCAAGGCGCATCGCAATTTTCTCAAGCAAAAGAGAGTAGGAGTTCAGGCCGACACTCGGGTGCTTTTAAGTGAAGGCTTGTTTACTAGGTGCTCTCAGGGCTGCTTCGTTGTAACTTGAGGACTTCAGACCATGGGATTCACCCAGAGCCAATTGCGCATTTCATGGTGTGATCAAGAGGCCAATCGAATCCAAAGACTTTAACCCTGCATTCTAATGGCTCCTCGCCCCTTGTGGAATGAACTGCACGAGATACGCCGCCTGGCTGCATTTGGCACGAAGGATGGACCTGCCAGGGGATTCGGTAAAGATGCGTCGAACTCTTAAGGGAATATTTGTTCGAGTCGCGCCTTCAGTGGATCCCAATTCGCCATGGATAGAACCAGCCATGCTCCTTAAGGGATTTGTCTGGGAGGTGTGCTGGGTGAATGGATCCCGTTGAAATTTCGGCCCAAGCCCAAACTGATGGATCAGAAAGCTGGCAGAAATCACCCTCTGGTTCTGCAGGCCATTTTTTTTTAAGACTTCCCACCGGAACCAGCTCCAAACCGCCAGAAGTTGCCCCACCAAGTCAATGGATCCGGTCGCCCCTTTGAGCCCTTGGAGCCGGAAACATCAGTTCTTTAATAACGCCAATTCTTTTCCCCCTTTTTTCTTGGTGGCCAAACGAAAAATGGTCCAAGCCCCAGACAGTGGGTTCCCATTCGAAGGATGTCGCAGAGGTTGCCACCGGGCCCCTTGAAGCATAGCCAAACAAAAACACCCACGGTCTCTGACTGGGTTAAAAGCCGAGAGCGGCGCAGGGAACGAGGCATCCACATGCAAGTGTCCCCCCCCAAAAAAAATAAAAAAGCAATCAAGCAAGCAAAAGACATATAGCAGTTGATCTCAACAGAAGCTGGGTGCTGAATAGCCTGTATGTGTTCGATGTTTCCCGAAATGAACCCAAACAAGAAGATGAGGATTATTACTTTTTTTGTGGCGAGACCTCCCTATTACAGCACACAGCTTATCCCTTATTCCTGAAGTGTTTTATGGGGATCAAGATCAAGAAGGGTCCAGGCCGCAAATTAAAATCCAACCTCACGGAACCTGAGATTCTTTGGCCCTGACGGCCTTTTCCAGCTATGGGAACATCGACAGTTCCAGACCTTGCGGGCTCACTGGTCAAACGCGTTTCTTTTTTTTTTTCAGTGGCTGCATGAGGCTTGGGAAATAGAATGCTTTTATCTTTCTAGTCTTTTATTAGTTATTTTGTTTTTATTAGAATTATTCAGTTATTTCATGTCATTTATATGTTTCTTTCATTATATCTCTATCTTATGAATCATATTGTATCCCTTTCTTTCTTCTTTTATTATTTATGTTTATCTTCATGTTGTTTCTTTTATATTATTTTCCTATCTTTTTATTATTTATTGTAAACTTTAGAATCTTGGACGAAGGGAATGAGCGGCTGGGATTCTTCTTTCGTTGACGGGTGAGGAGGGAAGTGGATCAGGAACTCCGAAAGCCGGGTCAACAGGCATCACATTAAGGAAATATTATTTGATGCATTAGTTCGTCAACATGGGATAGGGAAAGCTGTTTATAATAAAATCCAATCATTAAATATTCATCCATCACCAATTCAAGCTTTTATTATTTACCATTCATTTTCATATTGTAAACCACCTAATCTTCACCAATAATAAATCTACAAATTGTCTATGAAAGAGAAATAGCTTCAGAATCCATTCTTTCGTGTCATCTGGATTCATTCTAATTCGCTTTCTCTTTCATATTGTTCATCTGATTGCAGAAAAAGAACGGTACACCGGAAGCCCCCTTTCGGGAAAGCCTGAGACCTGAAGTTTTCGGGCCTGAAGCTCCCGGCCTGACCCGATCCACGAAGCCGTGTGTCCGAGGTGGCCCCAACGATTGAGGCGGGTGTCACTTCTGTGTCGATGCGGGGCCTGAATCGGCAAACGAGCCGCGACAGCTTGGTACAGCTCTTGTCCGCAGCTGCGCAGCACCTTGGCTTCAGGGAAAGGCATGGTCCAGAAGGATGGGTCTTATGGCTTCGGGATCCATCCACAAAAATGGATCTTCGATCCAGGGTTTCTGTCTTTAAAAAAAGGAGCCGCCTCGAAATGGCTTCGATTCTTGTGCTTGGGTTTCCCTTCTAAACCCGCTGGGGAATAGGTCTCTTGAAACAGAGACGCTCAGAGAGAAGAGCATTTGGCCAAAAGTCGTGTGGTCTCCGTGGGAACATCTGCAAGTCGGCTCATTCAGCGGTTTCTTAATTTATTTACCTCGGTCAACAGCTAAGTCTCATCTCATGATTGATGTGGCTGGGCAATCAGTGTCATCCCCTCACCTTTCCGTCATTTGGAGCTGACAGCTAATTTTCGGTCAAATCAAAAGGAGCAAAGATTGGGCCGCACCATCATGATTCTTCTGTATGTTGGTTCACTTGGGTGCGGTGAGAGGATGAGATTGGAGATGAAAGGAGATCCCACTCGCTAGCCTCTTCCTTCATCATCGCTGTGGGTCAAAACCGTTTTGGGATCCCATTTTGGTTGGGATTGGTGAATTCACCACCCATTTTAGAACCTAGTTTAGTCGGGATTGGCATGTTCACTGGGGGTACGATTTGGATTTTGACCCATGGCCTCATTTCTATTTGTGACCGATGGAACTCTAAAAGCCGCAAGGATGATTGCCCGTCATTCGGAATGAATGGACACTGTACTTGGTGGTTTCTCCTCGTTTGCAAGGTGGACTGATGACCCGGACAGTTGAGTTTGGCGTCAGTTTGATTAGGGCCGTAAAAGCCTGTTCTGACCAAACTCAGCGACTAACTCACCCGCAATGAGGAGATTGCACATAACTAGGACCTAAATTAGACTGGGTTTGTGGGGTACTCTAAAACTGAATCAAGATAAGTAGGACAAGCGTGGGTTATCAGCCAACATAGATAAGCCATTCGAACTGGACAATAATGTGTGATTGTATTTTTTGGCCTTGGATGTGTCTGGACTGGATGCCCCAGTGGGGGATAAAGGAGGCGGAAGTTGCGGTTAGGTTTGCGCATCCGGACCTCGGGGTGTTGGAATGGAAGTACGAAGTTTTGCTTGTGACTCAGGATCTAGGTCCCCCAGCTAGGTGCCCTTTCACTTTTTTTTTGTGTGTTTTTGTTTTTCTTCTGGGGAGGGTTCCCTACTAAAATTGACTACAGAAAACCCTTACTCTTAACCTCTCTTCTGGAGGACCTAGGGATGTACCCTCCAATCCTGGAAGCTGACCGTCGGAGGGGTTTTTGAAGACGATGCTTTCCTTTTGGAGAAGCCCCAACACCTCCAATTCCATGATTGGAGAGAGGATGTACTGGAGGGGACTTGTGCGGTCGTGTTCAACGCACCCGGTGTTGACAGGGCCTAACCCACTTGGTAATGTTGGACCTTCTGCAAATGGCCGCTTGGTCCAAGTCCTTCACGGTCATGCTAAAAATAGAAAGACCTATGCATTCCGGTTTTTGCAGTGGTCCCCAAACCATCGATGAGTATCAAGAAGTCAATAAGCAAATAAGAACAAGGCCAACAGTCACACAAGGGGGGTTGCCTACAGGACCCCTGATCGTCTTTATCCGACTGTTTTGGGGTTCCGGGTAACTTCCGAGAGAAAACCGGGATATACTAAATGGGCAATACTAAATTAAGCACTGGGAATCTGATGTTTAATCTTGGCAATACTAAATTTTGACTTGACTATGCTAAATTGATAATTATTGGCACTACGCAATGAAGTAGTGGGAATCTGAGACTAAGTCTTGGCAGCACTAAATGTATACTTCTTGGCAATACTAAATTAAGTACGAGGAATCTGAGATCAAGTCTTGCCAATGAGTTTAGAGTTGGCAATACTAGATGAGTATTTTCGAGCCCAAGTCCAACCCAGACCTCTTGTCTAAACAGGCTCCAAATGACTGCTCTCACTGTTCCAGGGGGTCACATTCAAGAAGAACATTCCAGGGGGACCACAATAAAAGGCTCAAAGTATGAACCTGAATGTGCGATGGTCAAAAGGCTGGTCATGAACCATTTCGGGAGCTTAGACAATCAGCAAGAGCCCCATTACGGGAACCAGGATTCTTCGGTTTGCTTTCAGACATGGGCTTGACACAGCTTAAATGTCACATGGCTTTGTTTCCCTGCTTTTTTTTGGAGCCGGTACCCTTTCACCTTGGCTTTTTATTGGCCCCTGTTTTCATACAACCCCTCATTCCAAGTGCTTGCTGCTTCCAAGCTCGAGCTCGCGACCCTGCCACAGCTCGCGAGCTTGCGACCGAGGCTAATGGGGGAAAGGCCGAAGCATGATTTTGTTTACCTGCCATGGGCGACAAGGAAAGCCTGCAACATTGGATTGGCGTGCGCTGGCTGCGCTGGCGACCATATGGGCGGATGGGCGGGATGCATCACTGATGGGGACAGAGATGATTGTTTTTGTTTTTTTTCCCCAGGATTTGGGCGGGAAAGATGGCCACAGCTCCGAAAGGTACTCCTACTCTTTTAGGGGTTAGGGAGCAACCATGTTTTTTCCCAGTGAACACCCCTAGGAACACATTTCCTGCTGTTTTGAATCCCGAATTCGTAATGTTTCCTGTTAAAAAGCATCTCGGAGCGGGTTCCCTATTTTGGAGACAGGCCCATTTGTTTCGTGCACCGCTTCTGTGTTTCTGCTCTTTTGGCATGCCCACTTCTAAGGGCAGGCCGCATTTGGATTCGTTTATTTTGAGGTGTAAGCATCCCCCCAAAGGATTCGTATGGGTTTCAACCCAGACCTGAAGTCGATTTTTCCTTTGCTGCTGATGGACCAAATCCGAGCCGATTGGCACCACTTGGGATATCTTGGGATGGAACAACCCGAATAAATACCGGGATAAACCACCAACTCAACGGGGAACGCGAGCGATTCGACGGGCCCAATTTGGGCTTAGACGGGTTCGGATAATCATATATTGGCCCTAATAGGGGGTCGTGCAAATCTTGAAATGCTATGCACGCGTTTGGCCTGTCCTCTACTCCGGCGATGTGAATGAGTCTCTTCCTGCCGAAGTGATGGTATGCTTGTGTGGCAACGAACTCAGGTTTTCCTTCAAAACCACCCAACAAAGGGGTCCAAGAACGACGAGCCACCTATTTGGAAAGGCCCTCTGAATGGCTTAATGGGAAGCCCAATATAGACCATCGGCGGCAGATCCGGGCACCCGTTTGGATGTCGGAAAAGAGCGCTTAGGTTTGCACCGATGTGCCAGTGGGGCAGGGTTTACCGCCAGTTTCTGTGAGAAAGGGAATCTCTGTGCTACGCTTGTCGGGGCTAGTGACCCACTGCACTAGAACTCCACTAGCCGGCATCCCTGAAGTGGTCCATCTACGACAACGGGTGGTTTGAGGGTTTATCGACTATGCTTTCGGGGATTGAGCAATGTACCAAGTCGTATTTGATAACTTGATATTTGATAGCAATACATACACCAATGGTGGTGCCGTTGCGACTTGTTGCGACCAGCAATACTGAACAATGTGTTGAGGAACATACAAACAAGTATACATAATAGTCATATCACAAATAGTTTAAGTCATCAAGTTGGATCATTTGGATATTTATGGGTTTCAGTCTGTGTGTGTGTGTGTTTCTCTTCTGTCTTGCTGTCTGCTTTTGTGTCTCTCCGTCTTTGTGTCTCTGTATTTCTCGATGTTTCCGTGCCTTTGGCCTTTGTCTCTTTCTCTCTCTCTCTCTCTCTCTCTTTTTCTCTCTCCCTCTGTCTCGCTTTCTCGCTCCCCCTCTCTACGCCTTTCTCTTCGCGGAGCTTTGTGTTTTGTCTTTGGCGCCCGCTCAGGTTTGTGAACTTTGAGGATCACGATTCCTGTAAACGGTTCTTCGAGGCGCTACATCGATACCCCGACCTTCTGCTCCCTGGCAGGGGCGGTGAGAGAGAGAGAGAGAGAGGGTTTATAGTATGTAGCGGTTGCAATCTTAAGCCCGGATTTTTCGAAGACCCTGGTTGATTGCGATTAGGGGACATCCCCCCTCTTACTTTTAGTGGGGCTTATGTTCTCACTTTTGGGGCCCTTTTCACAAGGGGGCGAGTTTAGTACGGCCAGCATTCTCCCCGTGGGTCCAAGGAACGGGACCTTGGTGACCCCAACCCCATGCAGGTTTATGAGTATCCTTGGATTGCTGCAAGATGCTGCAAAACTTGGGGAGAATCCATTTGGCAAGGAACATGGCCCAAAACGGTCCTTCCTGATTTTGAAAGTGGTTTCAAGCTTTGGAAATCAGGCCCAGACGGAACTGGTGATGAAACATCACGCCATGGCGTGGCCTGATTTGGGCGTGCCATTTGTAGGGGACCCCCCTTTTGGTTGGGTTTTAAAGGGGCACCAAAAGGAAAGTCACAGCTTCCTTGCTTATATATGTGTTATTCCTTGTCCCTTTTCTTTTCCGTTTTGCCCCGTGGTTGTTGTATTTATATCGTTTATTGGGAGCGGCGAGTTTTTGTTGGGACGAGCCGCCCGAGCGAAGGCCGAGGCTTCAAGTTCGGGAAACTGACTCCTGACTCGGAGCCAAGAGCCCACGAGTCGTAGGTAGAGCCGGTTTTGGGTTCTCAGTAGGACCGGTGGTTTTGGGTTCTGGGTTCTCGGCTGGTGGTTTTTTGGGTTTTGGGTTTCTGGTTTTGTTTGGAATGAAGGAAGGTTGTTGGAATGAACGGAGTCCACTTGAAGTCGTTCGGCTGTTTGGTCAGCTGGGGGTGTCTCCCTCACCTTGCCAGACCCCAAAGACGCGCTTGACGTTTCTGACCAGAAAGTGACCCTGTTCTCACCATGGATCACTTTCGACCCTCCTTTGGAATACTGTGGATGGACGAAATCCTGCACCACTCGCAACAATCCACAGTATTCTGGTTCCTTTTGGAAAGGGAGCAGCGCACTCGATCATGTCGAGCAGAGACGGACAGGCGCCTTTCGAATTACTTTTGAGCGAGGACGGACTTCGAGTTCCGACAAATCATCCCTGCACTAATACAAGGACGAGGTGCGTGGAGACTAAACTTCGGCGGTTCCATCCCCCTTCAACCAAGGGAGGCAACCAAAACCAAGAGAAGATGTGTTGGTTGTCTTCTCTGTGGGATTTACTGGGGCTATGGGCCGTCCAGAACTATGAATGTCCAAGATTGGGTGTGTCTGTTTTAAGGTTCGCCCCCATTAAAAAACATGTTTGTGCTTTTTCAGGGAAACCAAAACCGTGATTTTGGAGGGCCCCCCAGCAGACGTTCCCAAATTTGGAGCTTCTGGGCCTTGGACCATGGGTGAATCGAACATGGCGATTGCCAGCGTGAAAGATGGCCGGGTCGACCTTCTTGGGATCGGAATTCCTGGCGACGGCGACACAAATCCAAGGGACGTGGTTTGGAAGAGTTGATCACCTCCCAGGCCTTTCAAGCCGCCTTTAATCAGATCCTTTGCTTTCCCATTCGCTGCGAAGCTTCGGTTCCCTTCGAGTGACCCTGGTAAGTGGGGAAGTGGGAAGCTACTCCCCTAACTTATAAGCCACTAAACCAAACCTTCGGACGCTGGGGTAATTTGCTGAAGGCATGGTTGGGGCACCCTCTTTTTTGCTCACAATGTCCAAGTTGAAGGTTGCAATGGACGTTCTCAACAGAGAGGACCAGACGTGCCCTTAGGTCAAGCCTGTAAGCTGGAAATCACGAACGCACTAGCTGGAGTTATTCTACCTAAGCTTTGCTTAGCAATCAGGGGGTGTGGGGTCTTGCGTGGCGCAGCAGGAGGCCCAAACGAAACACGCCAAATCAACAGCCGTTGCCGTTTTGTTTTCTGCGCTCAAGTAAAGACTTTCGCAGGCAACAATCTCAGGGACACCATCGACAAGCGCGGACCAGGCAGGGATGTTGGGAGTTTGGGGGTCTCGGAGCAGCTTTTGCGGCGGTTCCAAAAATATGTTCCCTCGAAACATTTAAA